TCTCTGCCGCCTCTCGCTTGTAGAGAGTTGGAGATAGGCACCAGCAACCCTTGCAACCCCAGTAGGGATAAGCAAGACAGACGATGGATGGATGGAAGTTTTTTTTGTCTGAATAAATAAATTGAAAGAATTAAGGCCTGTATTAAAAATTAAAAAAGCATTTATATTAATAAATTCATATGTCCAAGTTTTACATGATTTAACATTAACATTTTTACATCTTACATCTTTAGTTGTCTTGGACAGAAAAAAAAATGTAGTTTGGATTTTTATTCTATATTTTATTTTTAAGTCAAAAATGCAGCTTTATTCTGAAAATTAAGCAGCATTTCCAGTGATCAGTTTTGCTTAGATAATTGTGAGAAATGTGCTTTCATTGAAAGCTTCCTTTCTCTGTTTTGTTCACTAAAATATATTTTTAATGCCATACCACATTAAAAGTGTTGTTTATACAATGCAGTCTCCTTGGTTACTGATCTATATTTTATCCCCTCACTGTGTTTTGGAGCTGTGACTCACTTGATCTGTTCTGTTTGTTTCCAACTGGCTTTACAGAGGTGGATAGAAACTAGTTGCATTTACTTGAATAACTTTCTGAAAAACATCTACCATCAGGAGTAGTTTTACCACATTCGACTTTTTACTATTGCCTACTTTTTTTCTGGCTACTCTACCCATAATTAGTTACTTCACTCATTCAACAACAAGCTTGTTAAAAGATGCACCAAAGACACAAACACCGAGAGTTTAAATTAAACCTTTTTTTTCTAATCCAGCTCCATTTTTAAAAGTCAGTTTCCATCTTCTGATTTTGCTGTGTCATATTATTTTTTTATGAAACCAGATGTTATGCTCATGAGTAGAAAATAAATACTTGAGTTCAATTAAGAACAAAACCCACCACTGCGTCCATCTCAATTGATCAGTGAATTAAAACTGAGATCAGTGAGAGCTAAAATACCTTGTTCTTTATTAATTTAAAGTGTTTTAAATTCTTTTTTTTTTTTTTTTGGTCTGATTTCAAGTCCAGATGAATCCTGATATTATCTTCTCTCTTTATTGAACTAAAAAACCTGGAATTCTAACAGGAAGGAATATAAAATTGTATAGAAATCTGGGTAACAGCTTTAAAATATCTAATCTAGAGCCGTTGTTGGACCACAGATGTAGGGACTGTTTTCTGACTTCAGCTTTTAATACATTATTCCTGTGTTTCTGAGAGATTTAAGTTTCTTAACTCTCACATTTCTGAATCTGTACTAAATAAATCATTTTCACGAAAACGTAATTTTATTTTTTCAGGTGTGTATCGTCTCCGCTCCTCCAGCAGGGGGCGACTGCTGCTTCAGCTGTTCAGGAGGTGACGTCATTTGCTTGGTTTCCGCTGCTACATGTAAACAAAGCGCAGTTAGCTTCGGAGGATCCGGGGAAGAGGACTGGGCTGGAATCAGAACCCAAACCGAATCAGTGGATCCGGACCTGAAGTTCCAAGGGATGGATTAAACCAGAACCGCCATCATGTCCATGGAGGACCCGTTCTTCGTCGTTAAAGGGTCAGAACCTTCACAGCTGGTAGATAGTTTCAGACCGAACCCGAACCTCGACAGTAGAGACCAGTCTGACCAGTTAACTTCATCAGTGGAACCAGTTAACTGTTCACCTGTTCAACCAGTAGAACCAGTTAAATGTTCACCAGTTTAACCAGTGAGACCAGTCTGAGCTGGTAACTGTTCACCAGTTTAACCAGTGGAACCAGTTAACTGTTCACCAGTTTAACCAGTGAGACCAGTCTGAGCTGGTAACTGTTCACCAGTTTAACCAGTGGAACCAGTTAACTGTTCACCAGTTTAACCAGTGAGACCAGTCTGAGCTGG